AGCGACTCCCAAAGAATGGATCAAGCAATTGCCATTCGTGGAGTTCGCTATTAATAACAGTGTTCACGCCAGTACGGGTGAAACACCGTTTTACATAACGGACTGCGTCATTCTCGAACGCCAGTATTGTTTGTACGCAGCCGAGTTTTAGTGGGGAGGGCCTCTCACTTCGCTCGGTGCGAATGCCAAAAAGGGCCAAAGTTTTCCTAGTGACACTGCTAGTTTAGCAGTGGTCACGGCACCTCTAGGTGTCACAGAGGAGGCACGGCAAGAAATGCCAGCGCTCCTCGATGATGACATTATAGTGTTATCAACAGCGTCGATCCATGAACGACCTCTTGGAGGCGTCATCGGCGAGCTGGATGCTAAAAGCGTGAGCGAAGCTCAGCGCTTTGTGGATGAGCGATTAGCCATCACACGTAAAGTCCGTGACGCGATGGCAAGCGCACAGGACAAGCAAAAACAATATGCAGACCAGCATGGTCGCAAAAACAATGAACGCTTTAGTGTGGGGGACAAAGTGCTATTAAGTACTGCTACCCTTCCTAAGCATGCAATTTCCGTACTACCTGGTGATACTACTAAGCTATTGCCCCGATTCATTGGGCCCTTTACAGTGGTTGAAGAAGTTGGAGACCTAAATTATAGGCTCACTCTCCCACCGTATATAAAGACGCACCCCGTATTTTACGTGGGTCGTCTGAAACGGTATGTTGATCCAGAATTGATCACATATCCACATCGGTCTAACGAGACCGATGGTGACGTCGACTGTGAGTCGAGCGTCGCGGCCGATCAGGCGACGAGGAAGCCGAGAGGCTCCCCGTATACGAACGAGGCGATAGAGGACTCGGCGATCGAGGAGGACTCCGCGCTTGACGCGGGTCTCTCATCACCAGTCGATCTAAGATGTCCAAACGGGTCTTCAGGCAAACATAACCCTGACGGTCTCTCGCCCTCACATCGCGCATATCCGAAGTCAGTCGCGAGACTTGACTCTCGAGATCTGTCACCTTCCTCTTCAGCGCAGCGGTTTCATCTTACGACTGAACAGCAGCAGGGTAGGCAGCCGCGAGTAGGTGGGCGTAATCGCCACTCCTATCGGGCGCCACCTGTGTTGGTGGACGCGGAAGGGAATACGCGCTTCCTTATTGGAAGGCTGTTGGCCCACCGGTTTGTGAAGCGAAAGCTCGAAATCCTTGTCCAGTGGAAGGGTTACCCAAAGAGCTTTGACTCGTGGGAGCCTGTGGACGCTTTGCGCGTCGACGTGCCTGGGCTGGTGGCTGCTTATGTGAAGCAGCACCAGCTGTCGTCTTTCTGCTAGGTCCGGCTGGACTAGCAGAAGAAGCGTGGCGAGAATCAATTAGCGGTCGCTTACCACCCAAGATTTCATGCGAAGCTGACTCGCTGCGGCCGTTGTTTCGTTGCATCTACATGCAACGTTACACGGCGCCGAAGTTCAGCTTCATATTCGTCGGCTGTTTCGTTAGAACGCAGCACGACTGGATTTGAGAAAGCACGACCAAGTGCTTTGCCCTGCTTTTTCCACAAGGAAAAGACGCTCCGTAAGCAGCCACCAGTCCAGGCACGTCGAAGCACAACGCGTCAACCGGTTCCCAAGAGTCGAAGCTCTTCGGGTATCCGTTCCACTGGCAAGTATTTAAAGCTTGTGCTTCACATGGCGGTGGGCCAACAACCTTTTCACAAAGGAGCGTTGTTTCCACCCGCATCCAACAAAACAGGTGGCGTCCGGTTGGAGTGGAAATTATGCCGACTACTCGCGGCTGCCAAAATTTATGAGCGTCAATTGTTGCACGCTGCAAAAGCGCTGCACTAGACCCATCCGAGTTCATCCACTCAGATGGAGGTGGCATTGGTGGCAAGTCACCACTCACGTAGCCGCCCTCGCGACGGCGGGCTAGTGAGGCCGAAGGTGTACTTGTTGGAGTTTTAAACTCACACTCACCTGAGTCTGACTCTCCATTATGGATTGTCAAGACATCAGCATGAGAACTACTCCTTTCGAAGTAGCGCGCTCAGTCTTAGTCGCTGCGCTCGTAGGCACAGGCGACGAGGTTTTACCTTCGGTTGCAGGAAGCATAGATGCTCCCTTAAGGACGGGTGCCTCAAATGATGGGGACATATGTCCCATAAATGCACTTTGCTCATCGCGGTGTATGGCAATGGTGTAGTCTCATTGTAGTCTACAATGAGAGATGGATCTTCATCCACATTATAGTGAGATGGAAGATACGCCTCAGTGCCTGAAACACTTTGCGACGGCTGCGATAAATCGCGGCGCGTGCGCTTAGTGTTTGACTGCATGGGCGCCTTTGCAGGCGACCCATCAGCCTTACCACGTTTCGGTGGCATAAGAATTGAGTAGACTAAAGCGACGCGTTTATATACGGCTCGCAAGTCTCTCTACCTCCTAGGCGATGTTTTACAAAATGTAAAAATCGTTCTAAAACGGGGGATGGTGTAACAGGGCATCTAGTTACACGTAAACATTAAGTAATATACTTAATGTTTGGTCTAAAAGTATCCATGATTACTTTTGACCTGTCACTTGGGTGCGATACACAAACGCGATCCACCCTCGTGAATGTGATATCCATTTATGGATTCACATGAGAAGGGATGACGCTAGTTGAAGCTAGGCATCGCGACGTCTCAGAAAGACGTCAGTTGCGATCTTAAATCTAGATTTAAGTTCATGCGACAGGATACGCTTCTAAAGAGTCGCGTATCCGATCTATATACATATATAGCCAATCAGTAGTTAAGTATATATTTAGTTATAATTAATTAAATGTAGCTCAGTCTTTAATTTCCTAAACAACGAAGCACCACGCACGAGAAGCTGAAAAGCTTCTACGTGACGTCGGTGCCTTCTTGTCTTAGAAGTTCGTTGCACTCTCGCTTAAAGTGAGAGACAACTGGTGGTACGACTGCTTAAGCAGTCGACCAACCTCCTAACCACCCTCGCACGCGAAGGTAAGACGGTATAACCGCTTCCTTAGTACGAGGCAACTTCGTAGAAGCGCCTGTCTACATTCCGGCCCTTTCGTGACCGTCGCTAAAGCTGACTGATGTAGGCGCGTTTGGCGCGCTGTCGGAACCAGTTGTTGGGCTCATAATATCTGTGCAGATGACTGAGTCTACTTTGGTCCTTAGTTCGCAAAAATGCTGGCTTCCTTTAAGCCACTCTTCTCTCATACTGCTCACGAATCGTCTTCATGTCCGCAATCATGAACCGTCTCTTTGAAGATTTGTTGTTTACTAGGTATATGTGAAATTATAAATTATGTAGGTCCTTAGTTCACTAGCCTGTGCTACCTCTAAGCCTACTCATCGAAGTCCTTCTAGAAAATTCGAAGTGACGTCATCTAATGACGCCAGACTGTGGCGTCATGGTCTATCGAATATGTGCAACCCTAACACACTCTCTGTCGCACCGCATGTACCTTGCGACCTAACAGTCTTCATGTAAGAGTGTAGTCGTAGTTGCACTTGTGCAAGAGGTGTAGGAAGTAAAAGCGAATATATTATTGCTTACTACTCTCGTCCGTCAACACTACAACATGCATTTCCAACGGGCTTCCATGTTGACCAGGTCAACTTCCACATAGTGGCCGTCTCTCCCCGTCCCATGTGCCATCTTATCACATGGCGCTCGTCTCTCCCGATTCCATCTATCATCTCGTAATGTGTCGTCCGTACCTTCTCGTCTCATCTGTCAAGATGCCACAACAAAACAGCCAATCAGGTGACGTCGCATATTACCTGTGAACTTGGGCTTCAAATCTTAATGACCTGTCAGAACCAGTATCTTCTAACACTTCGTGCCCGTAATGCTGTGTCATCAATAACATGCATTTAGCATGTGCGATCGCGTAACTTGACATAAATATACATCTTCATAATGCAGGTTTATTATTCAATTTTCAATCAAATAAATCAAAAATCGATAACGAAAAAAAAGCTGAAATTTAACCCAAGAAGCATGCTACAATTTATATGATCATTGGCCGCAGCCAATGGGCTGCGGCCAGTCCCCACCGTGAATGGTACAGTGTCGACTGATGCGGCAGCCTCCTTAAACATGCATCCTATGGTTAAGGGGTTTCTCGTGCTGCACGACTTCGTCGATGTTGCCCTGCCTGCTTCTTCCCGCAACCTGTCAACCTAACAGGATACTGGAATGGTAAAGGTCATCGTTAAACTATTCTAAAGCCGACGTCAAGAGCTTCTAATCCCATAAATCTGTGGCCTAAAATTGAAAGCAAAGAATCGGTTGATCAAACCCTACAAACCTACAAAAATCTGGACTTGCGTTTGGCAATCAGTCAGCTTTTTGTCAGAGGATACAGAACTTGCTTTCGAGTTCTTAAAGGTGAAGCAAGCTAACTCTTACCACATTATAAGATGTGGTTATGTGCCAGAGTTCCAAGTGCTTCTGGGCACAAGTCTTAGATGGTGGTGTTTGTAACAAAGGGTAGCAGCGTTTTTGGTCACATTGTTAGGCTGAACAACCAAGGCGTTTCGAAAATGAGAGAAAAACTGATAGCAGCCCTGTTTCCTGCAAGTCTACGACCACTGTAAATGCAATTTAGCCTTTGACGCTTACATCATGTGTAGAAGAGAAATTATCCTCACGACAAACAATGTCAAACTTAATGCGTAGGTTGTTGCATCGTTTGGTCTGCTCAACGCATCATACATACCATGATGCCTTTTAATTTCCTGCTTGATGGTGCCATGCAGGACTTGCTACGGCGCGTAATATCCCGCTGCACAATAACCGAAATTCGGCCGGATCGATGCTTTTGAAATGAAGGAGACTGACAGCTTGAGACGTCGGCGATAAAAAACAAACACGACACACGCTTGGAAGCTCACACGACAAGAGAAGCTGATTGCTAGAATATTTCTTACGTCAGTTCCTGCCGTTTGTCTAATTGTGGACTTCTTCCGAGGTACATTTCATTCTAGATGCACTAGAAGTCACGGTATAGCATAAGCATACCGTCTAAGTGAATAATGCCACGATCGAGACGGTCTAGTGAGCGGCTGAGCTTGTCGAATTTGTCGAGATCGTTGGCTTCAACCAATTGTTCTGATCGCGCAATGAGTTCTTTGTTTTCATCGGCTTCAAACTTACGCCGACGACGAAGACGACACAACGAGTCTTGAACGCGCTCCGTTATACGCGCCTGCATCTGCGGTACGTCAACGGACCAACAGAAGAATGTAAACGCCGGGTTGTGGTCTGCACGCTTCGAAATTTCCTGCATTTTCAACAGTTTGTCGGTATACAGCTCGTACAACCGATGCCGTGCGTCATTAGACGGCAGCAGCGCCAGCTCACCGATTGTCTTTTGTTCTAATTGGCGCTGCTCCATTAGTAAGCGCACGATACGAGCGCTGGCAACGCCATACTTTTCCTGAACGTACGCATGAGTCGTGGCCTGCTGCAAAAACTCCACGATCTTTTGCATATGGACCACGTATTGACCACCGTCACCTGCGCGCGCTTGAGTGGGATCGAACGCTTCCTGCGCGACTTTCATCATCATACCCGACTTGTCACGACACATGACCATAATGTAGTTAAGCAACAACCGCCACGGATTGTTTGCCTCAGGAGGGAGCGCTTTCTTCACACTTTCCATGTCAAATAGATCGCGTGCCGACACCGGAGACGAAGTCGGCTCGTCCTTTTCGCGTTCATGAGGGGCAGAGTGCTGAAGCATGGCGGCCACAATAACGCCGGCTACAGCATTGATATTCTCCGTCGCAAATCTAACGCACGCCTTGTGTCGCAGGTCACGCAGCAACTGCGTGACACCAAATCGCCACACTAGTGAGCGTTCATCTGTGTGAGTCCCATTAGGTGCGTCTTCACCGCTGGTCTCACCACCAGTGGCAGCATCTCCAGACGATGTGCCTCGCGTAGGCAGTTTGGCACGCTTCGCCTTTTTCTTGCGCTTGAATCCACGACTCGAGGACGTAGACGATGAGCTAGGTTCCCACTCAGCTTCCGAGTCGCTCTTTTCATTTCGAGCTGCCTCATCCGCGTCCAGCATCATCTGCAGTTCTACCGGGATAGCATTCCCTGCCGCCTGTGATGGAGCCTTCCGCTTCTTATCACGTACGGTGATTCCATCGTCGTCAGCAGCTTTATCATTTTTGTTTGCAGTATTCACATCAGAAATGCTAGCAGCAGCATTACCGGCCACCGAATTGCCGCTCGAGTTGGTCGCAGTATCCTGTCCACGCATGATACTCGCAGGGAATTCCGGGGCCTCTTCAGATACTGCCACCTTCAGGTCCAGAGGGTGCACTCGTGAGATAAAGCGTTTTTTGGCCATCTCCACAAAGACCTCCCGTACTAAATGACGACACTCTTCCAGCTCTTCCTCACTAATCTCTTCTTCCTCCGTCACTACTGTCTTATTTTCGACTGCTTTTTCATTTTGACTTTGACGACGCTGTTCTGCCAAGTTATAAGCCATCGTCTCTAGTGAATGGTCCATCCGTACACGACCTTGTACTAAAATCTCCTCCATAATCACTTCACCCTCCACTCCAAAAGCTTTTTTGGCCTGCTCGACAAACTTAGGGAACCGTAAACGATACAGAGCTTCCTGTACATTAATCTGTTGTAAATAAAGGGTAAAACCCACAAACAAAAAAGACAAAAACCATCCACAATATCAGTAAAACACCACAAAAAGCACCACTAACAATCAATTGCAATTCTTACATTGTACGCGACCGTCGGACCACTTCCTCGAACAATAACAGGTGTTACATCCAGTACATTGTGTTGCAGCAACTTAAGCAATGCACATTTGATCTATATATACCACGTAACAAGTAATTAATTCTACAAGATTCCATACAAATTGCAAGTTTAAATGACTTGTTTTCTAACCTCATGCACGGAAATCGACGCCGACGACGACGACGTCATACGACGTTGCAGTTTGTAAACGATCTCGGAAAGCCGCAGCCCTTCAGAGCGCAGTAACGTCTCGGCCACTTGCTCTGCTACATGGCCAAAGTCCTCGTGAACAATGCTGAGCACCAGGGCACGCTCGGAGCGCGTGGCAAACGACGTCTTCTTGTCGCGAGATGCCATTGGTCTTTTGTCCGCCATCCAAATAATAACAGTCTGGTTATGTTGCCATAATGTTGCACTTGCATTTAGAAACTTCATGTATAAGTTCACACATTATTTAATGCAATTATTTTACTTTTACCAAGAATATTCAAATATGACAATAGACTAGCTGACAAAGTATTGGTCACTATTGACCTATTGAAAATATTACAATAGACTAGTCGACAAAGTATTGGTCAGTATGCCTCGTAAACGGCCAGCGGATGCTACTGACTCGGAGGACCGAGAGAATTCTGAGCCTTCAGAGACGGAGATGGAAGAGCAACTCTGTGCACAGGCTGCTGAGATGCTCAATCAATTTATTCGGTCGTTCCATATCGCTGCCAGTGTACGATGTCATTTTTGACATTTTGGACCAAAGTGTCTACAATTTTTGACCCGATGGTGTATTTTTGACAATTAATTTTATTTTTTGACAATGCGTTTTCTCGGTGGTCGTATATTTGATTCATATTTTAGACGGAGATGGCTCGTAATCGACTTAAGAGTTCGATGTACTTGTTTGAACAACGTCGACGTCGAAAAGAATACCCGGTCCTAGTGGATGGGGTTTCTCACGATGCATTACAAGGTTTTAAAGTGCAGAGTGAGTCAAGACAATATTTGTAGAACCTTATAGAACGAAAGTGGCTCTTGTTTTTCTATAAGTTCTACTAATGTAAGAAAGTTTTGTAAAATACTTTTTGTAGCATCGGAACTGCCGGAAGTACCTGATCACCAAGTTAAGCACAATGTGAAGATACTTTTGGTCAATCCAAACCAAACTGTCATCAAACGAACTGTCATTTTGCCAAAAGTACCTCCAATTCCAACTGCCACCATGTGGACAGCATTAACAAAAAATTACGAGGTGGAAGATGAGCCAACGCTCAAATATCTTCCTTACTTTGGTGACGATGATGAAGAGGATGTCGTGTCCGAATTCTACCAAATCAAGTGAGATTATTACGTGTTTGCTTGTGGAACACGCACGGAAGTTTAAGATTGGACATTATTTCGCTGACTATATGTTCGTCTTGTGTGGCCTCATTGTCCTTAGACAGCAACGAACGAGTGCATGCGAGGTGGAATTTACAAAGGAAATGTGTGAAAGTGTGTTGAAGACTCTTCAGTCAACGTGGGATCTCACCCCTAGTGATCTCAAGCGCGTGGCAAATGTCATTAAAGTTGAAGAAGAGGTCAGAAATAGCTTGTCATGTGTACCGGAACTGTTTGTGAAACTCATCTGTTTTCATTTTACTTTATTTTTTTGTGATAAAGTAGGTGTTGGTTGAAGTACACAAAAATTTGCGTCTATCTCAGCACACAGCGAAGAAGAAACGACGAATGGAAGTGACAATCGTTGACAACGGACAGAAGAACTCCAATAGGGATAAAAGATTTAGGAATGATCTGCTCAATCCTGCTGATCAAAACATTTCGATGGAGGAATACTTTCAGCTGTACGAGAAATCCGCTGATTCGTATCGCAGTACGTGTCGATTGCTATATGCTGCGTTGTCCAGTTGAGTCTAATAAATGCACGTGTGTGGTCTGCCTGCTGACAAATCTTTTACACAGGCCTTTTTTGTCGACGTTGCTTTGTCTACGACTGTGACTACCACGGATGCAGAGAGCAACCCAAGCTGGTGAGAAAACGACGTCTTTTTGTATCCATCGACTGGCTAATCTGACGCGATTGGTGTGATCTATAGCGTATCTTGGAACAAAACGCCGTGGCGCGCAACATGCAGGAGAAGGGAAGAATGATCAACACGGGGCGCAACTGTGGAAACAATTGTTTTCTTGGCAAAATAAGTTCTTCGAGCTTGACTGGCTTTTCCAAAGCTCGCGGTGTCTCCGCCATTTTCGGGTGGAACAAACGGACAAGCATCGTTTGTGCGCGCAGTTATCTTGTGTGCTCGGGGAACTTTTGTGAAATGGCGAAGATGATTGGTGACAAAACTTGCACGGAAGTCGCTGAGATGTGTGCGTACTACAATATCAAAGATCGCAGCTTGCCGAAAGAGGTATGCCAAACTTTTATGAATGCAAACTGTACAACGACATATTGATGTGCTACCAACCAAATAGGTTCGTCCTCAACCAAAATGTCGACGCTCGCGAAAGAAGAAGAATTGGCGAATGTCAATCGCCCACTTACAAAGTACGTTTGTATGTCAGCATGTAATTTTGTCGTCCTGGATACGCTACGATGCTCCGAGTTCAAAGCAGATGTGGCCGCATGAGTGACATATACTGAAATAATCGTACCCTTTAACCCTTTTGAGGCGTAAGAGATCACAGTTACTACTGTAGTATCGGCTATTAAGGGCTGCACATGTGAATACGCTGCTCGTTTGTTTGCTAACTCTTATCTATTATTACCGAATGAACAGACTCCCGAAATGGCGTGGTGAATTCCGTTCAGATCAAGTACGTGGTCTACATTCATCACATTGTCTGTGAAGAGACCAGATCAACTAACACGATTACTTTCATGTTTGATCAACATAGAATTGAGCCTTGCTCTCATTCAGGGCCTTGTGAACCAGGTGTTTGTTCTTGTATCGAAGATGGCATATTTTGCTCGAAGCATTGCCATTGCGTCCATGACGAGTGCAAGATTTTTTTTCCAGGATGCCAGTGCTCGCGCGGTCGTTGTCGTACGAAAGCGTGCCCATGCTTCTGTGCAGGTCGCGAATGTGATATCGATTTATGCAAATTGTGCTCTGCGGACGAAATTGTTGCGCGCGAGAAGGATTGGCCGTATCACCGCCACTCTGGCGATACGACAAAGGATGGTAGAAGCGAGACGACTTGCCAAAACCGCAGCATTGCACTTGGTAAACAGAAGCACGTACGCATGGGCCGCTCGAAGCTCGGTGCTGCAGGCTGGGGACTTTTTGTGGACGATTTTGTTGCTAAGGATGAGTTTATCATCGAGTACATTGGTGAGATGGTATCACAAGAAGAAGCCGATAGACGTGGTGCCGTCTACGATAAGGTTGACCGCAGGTACGATGATGATTCTGGAATGGATGATACTTCAGTTTTCGTGCTCACATTGTGTTTGTGATCGAATCGTTCTAGTTATTTGTTTAATTTGGATACCAAAACCGTGATTGATTCGACACGAAAAGGAAACAAGACCAGGGTAAGAACTATTATTGTAGCTCATCCATTCATCACTTTTGACGACATTCATCACATTTGACGACATGCTCGTTCTTGGTTGGTGAATGTCAGTATATTAATCACTCCTCAAAGAGTCCAAACTGCGCATGTAAAATCATGAACGTGAGCAGTGACTTTCGGATTGGATTGTATGCAACTCACGATATTCAGCCGCATACTGAGGTAAGCAGCATCTATAATTCTCAAAGCGTCGTGCTTTCAAGATTCTAATCCATGTCACTTTCAGCTTTTCTTTGATTATGGTTACGACAAGGAGCTATACCATGCAGAGTTGCTGAAACAGCCAACTGTTACAGAGTGGATGAAAAAATAGAGCCCCAGCGGCCCAACCAGTGAAGCACGTTTCAATGTGTGTATGTACCGGGAAACAATTGTAATCGTCTTCAAAGACAATACAGAATTTACTGAGAAGGCATTAGCTGTAAGCCGGGGCAGTGTCACGCTCAAGAGCTTGCTCGAGGATACCTCGCATTTAGAATCTGCGTAGTAGCGCCTGTCCGAGTACCTCGAGATGTATCCGTCGAAGCTCAATGTATCACGTACGGACATGAATAGATCATGCAATCACTAGATTGGATTGTTAACGCGTACTCGATTGTTCTGTAGCACACGTACTGATGGCCAGGGCTCGGTCTGATTTCTTATACACGTCTTGTAAAAACGAAGCTCCATCGTCAATGTCTTTTTTGTATCGTGCGCGCTTCAGGTGTCCTTCTTGCCTGAACGTCCGTCCAATACATTGTTTCGTCTTGTGGGCCCCCACAACTATTTGTCAGCACTGTAATCTTACGCAAAACTCCATCGCTGATTCGAGCAAATTCTTGAATACTGATAATAATCTGATAGTGTTTCGTTGAAAGCTAAAAACGTCAACTGACAAATGATGTAGATACAACTAGCTTCGGGCTGTTCCGACATTATGTTGAAGCTATCAACTTGGTAAAGAATCTGTTGAATACGACCGAAGAATTTTGGTTCAAATTTGCCAGTGCAAATCAGCCGCCCGAGGTCTGGTATTGGGAAAGGGTGCCGTATCGCGATGGCAAGATGCAAGCAAACGCCTGACTCAGTGGATAAATTTGCCAACCGTAATTGATGCAACCGTAACATCGGGTATCACGGATTGAATATTACCACAGCACCAGTCGAAAAAAGACTCCGAGTGCTCTCCAAGAGATCTCACATAAGTTCGCTACAAACATTCAAAAACGACAAACAAAGCGTTAATAGAGACTCATCAACTGACGTCCAAGCAAGGACTTACTAAGCAGGACCACCTCCGCCTTCAGGGACAGTCCAATCAATGTACTCCTTCGGCATTTTAATAGAGCAGCATTTACAGTGGACGCAGTTCTGAGCGTTGATCACGAGCTGCGGGACACCGTCCGCCTCACTGCCGTCCGTGTATTCGTACACGCCGGCGGGACAGAATCGCTGCTCCGGGCCAGCGTACACAGGGAATGACTCCTCCGAAGGAACCTTTGCGTGCTCTGGCTTAATGCGCAGGTGTGAGGGTTGGTCATGGTTGTGGTTGGTGCCGCTGCGCTGCAGGTTCGACAGCAAGTCGAACGTCAGCTCACCGTCCGGCTTTGGGTACTTTATGGGCGTGAAATCCTTGGCCGGGCGCGTTTTGGCCGAGTCTGCGACGGTGTTCGGAATGGTCCAGGGTTCCTTTCCCCTGAGGACGTGCGTCGCCACTCCAGCGTGTAAAAAACCAGGAAGGAAACCCCTGTGAAATCCAGCGTGCACGTTGCGAACTGCCTTCAGCTCCTCAGCAATCCACGACGACTCAACAGCATCCCCGTAGCTAGAGATGTCAATCGCAGGCTCTTCCGGGTCTATCTCCGCCGTATCAGCCACAGGCTTCGCGCCAGTGGAAGTCAAAGCGTCATACGCAGCCTCTGCAGCCAGCATGCCCGACTTCATAGCAGTGTGCGTACCTTTGATCTTGACGCCGTTGAGAAAACCAGCCGAGCAACCAATCAAACCACCACCAGGGAACGTCAGTTTCGGAATTGCGTGGTAGCCACCCTCGTTCAAGCAACGAGCACCATACTGTACGCACTCGCCGCCTTCCAGGTACTTCCGAACAACTGGATGCGTCTTAAACCGCTGAAATTCTTCGTAGGGATTGATATACGGGTTCTCGTAGTCGAGACCAACGACCAAACCAATCTGCACCAAGTCGTCCTCCATGTGGTACATGAATGACCCACCGAAAGTCTTGTCCATCAGCGACTGCTGCAGTGGCCAGCCCAGTGTATGCTGCACAAGTCCACGTTCGTGCTTATCCTTGGAGATACGCCACACCTCCTTCACACCAATTCCATACGTCTGGGGTTGAACACCATCGCGCAAATTGTACTTCCCCATCACCTCCTCGCTGCACGAGCCCCGGCAGCCTTCACCGAAGAGCGTCTACACAAAATGACAACACAAAGCACTAATTAGCAGCTGTAGAGTATTGACCAGCGCCATCAATAGAGCTGTAAATATGATGTACGTACTACACGCGCACGGAGCTCCATGCCGCGAGCAAAAGTGCTCTTGGGCTTATTATCCTTGCCGATACCGACATCGCGAGTGGCAATGCCACCGACGGATCCATCCTTGCGGTATAACACCTCAGAAGCCGAGAAACCAGGATAAATCTCGACACCAGCCTCCTCAGCTTGCTCTCCCAACCAGCGAACAAACTTACTGAGACTAATAACAAAGTTGCCGTCGTTATGCTATAGATTGTCAAAGCCCATCAGACAAATCGGACGTTATTCTTTTGTCCACCATGAAAATGCAGGTCAGAACACCACGCACCTCCTCTTGCGGCAACAGAAAGTGCGGTAGAGCCAGTGACTTCTTCTCCGTGAGCAGTAGGAACTTGTCCTTCGTCACAGGCGTGTCCAACGGTGCACCCAGGTCCTTCCAGTTCGGTAGCAGCTCATTCAATGCACGTGGCTCAAGTACATTTCCTGACAACACGTGTGAACCCACTTCGGCGCCCTTTTCAACCACACACACGGACAGCTCCGTGCCCTTCTCAGCCGAGAGCTGCTTCATACGGATCGCAGCCGCGAGACTCGCAGGCCCAGCACCGACCTATTCGATACAATACCACGCATACACATGTTAGTAATTTTATGGGTTCCCCTGTGACCATCATTCTGCACAGTGTACATACCAGTAATACGTCATAATCCATGGCCTCGCGCGGTTCATTAAGCAGCTTCTGATCCTCGGGGGTGAGCATGACAGATGACAGCCAACATCTTGAGTGCGCAGCTGGCGACTGGCGCTTGAGCGTCTGTAGATGCGACAACGAACGACGCCACATTATAATGCGGGGTTTCCTTTTGTCCTTGTGCCGGGATTTCCGCAATGATCTCACGTCAGTAATCTATGGACCCGACGCGGAAATTCATTTTAGCCAATCATTGATATTCATTTCTGAGTGCATGTAAAGACGTTGAAGTTGCACTCAACAGCTGGTTTTCGTCGAATAGAATTTAATGCACGAACGAAACAGCCATGCGTACAAAATATCTCAAAGAACTATCATAGCGTCAGGTGAAAATCCTGTGTTTTTTTGCGTGGGTTTGACCTGATTGTATGCTACTATTAATATGATAAGACGGAAAGCAATATCCTGCGGTCGACTCGGGCTACATGTCATGCAGTTTGTTTGCATCACAGTGTGTACTGCTCGAATAAGATAACCAACAATGGATTATCATGACTCGCTCGCTTGTTCACTGGAAGTGCTGTAACTACTGTGTGGCCTTCACAACGCCTGCTTACCCACCCCACTCCGATCATTTGAGCTATTTCCGATACCTTCAGTCTATCGCAAGCAATTCTATGTCTCTTCCTGCTCGTTGGTTTTTTTAAACTTGGCATGCAGCCAGACACGATCCATCATGACTCCCTTCTTTCGATTGCGTAGTCGAACGGTGCAGTATTCATTCTCCACCGTGCAAAATCCTGCTTGTTCAAACAGCAATGCCAGTTCTTCACGTGAGAAAAAGGAAGCTAAGGTTCCATCGCTGCGATAATACAGGCTCGGTGCCAACTTTTTGACGTTGCGTCGCATCGCGAGGTCGTACAGTCCATAGTCACGAAAACAGACAATCCCACCAGGCCGCAACGCTGCAAAAATCTTTTTTAGAGCACATGCAAACGATTCCGGTGGCAAGGCTGACAGCACGAACACCATGAGCACAATATCGATGGATTCGGGTGCTACACCCACGAGCTCCTCCTGAGCGATATCGCACACGAAAGCGCGACATCGCGTGGCATCATACTCTGGATTATGCTGGAGAATGTTGATGGCAAATGCACTAAAATCACAAACTTGTGCATGCACATTGGGACATTGAGCTAGAATGGGGAAGATCGCGCTGCCATAGCCACATCCAAGCTCTAGAACTTCTACTACTTCACGTTCTGATGTACAGAGTTCCGGGAATTCCTTGACGATGTAATTCCGAGGCTTGTAGACTTTACCTGGATGAACGAAGTAGCAATCAGACAGAGTTGACGTTCACCTCACTGAGGTTAATGGCTGAGAATCAATCGACTAACCATTATTACGCTGGTGAAAAGCGTCCCACTTATCCTTGGCCTCTTTCGTCAGCTGTTGTGTCTCGCAAAGGTATTTTTTCTCCTTATCATCAACGTTTTCTTCTTCCTGAATCCGGCACTTCCTTGCAAGGTCCTCCCATTCAAAGTCATGCGAGTGTAATTGTACCTCGCGCTTGGACTTGAGCTGGTGCTCTACCATCTTCGTAAACCAGTAAAATGCGACAATAGAGGAATAGAGCGATTAGAAAGCTAGGAAATACAGATTATCCCTCTATTTCAAAACATCCATCTCTATTTTTAATTTAAAGCTACCTCCTCATTTCTATCTCTTTTCAATGGCACTAAGTAAAGCCCGTCGTGTAAAGCAAGACCCTGGCACTATCAAGCATAATGCCAATACAAACACGACAAGAACAGGTCACATGGTCTGCATCACCAGTGTTCCGTCAATTCTATGTGCCAGTGAACGTACTGTACGAGATTTCTTTGCTGAATATGGCATGCTCTTGTCCATTACGGTTCGTGTCCAGAGCCACCTATTTTGCATCAATCATTTCTATTTATTGGTGCGTTTCTATCACTTTTTTCTAAATGGATAGATTCATCACAACTTCCTCGATACGGAATCAGACGGATTCATTTACTTGGAATATTCAGAAAAAGAGGAAGCGGAGAATGCTGTTGCTGCAGTAAAAGAGAAAAGCGTGGGGTTAGCAGCATGTTCCGATGCGATATTTGAGAGAGCAGTGCTTCCATCTGAAATTACGGGAATGAAAGCGGCTATGGCACTTTGTCGGAAAGCGCCGAAGCTCGAAGTGGATGAGGAGATAAAGGACATTCTTCTAGGACGACAAGAACTGAACCGGTTCACGCAGAGCCATCCCATGGACGAGGATGATGATCTTATTTTACAGAGCTTGTCGCAGCATTCATTCACAAACTCTCAATCGAAAAAGAAGAAGAGGCGATCTCAGGCCGGTGGTCCAGTTTCAAGTAGACTGAAGAAGACCAAGAAGACGAGATCCAATACGATAGCAATGCTCACCGACTAGATGGTCAAAGATATTTTTTAGACTACCTTTTTTCTATTGCAGCGATGATGACGAGCGTTTCTCTTTCATACGGCGTAAAAGAAGTTGCATGCGCTCTGTCGATGAGCATGTGCATGTGCTATGAACACAAGTCGGGCATTCTTGTATTTTGGCCTTCTTGTTGGGTAGAGTGTTATTGGGTGAAGTGCCGGATGCTTCACTGTGTGAAGTTGTTGTAGCTGACAGCGTTTGGTTCGAAGTACTACGGAGTTCTTGCGTTAAGTTCGCTGTAACCGGTTCAGGTTGAGCTTCCTCGTCTTCATCTGCAGAAAACTCGTCAGAACTGGAGGGGAGCTCAACAACCTCAAACTCTTCATCGCCAGATCCGTTCTCCCAGTCATCATCATCATCTGCATCGTCGTCATTTGGATTGATACCAGTCTTTGCAGCGACTACGTGCGCGTGTTCATTGACGTCTACTTGGGAAACGCTGTTGCTAGACTGATTGGCGACGAGAGGCGTTGACACCACTTTTCGTTTCGCGCGTTTGCCTAATAAACTAGTCTGTGAGCCTGGAGTTGAAGTAGAAAAAGCTGAGCTTTTGATGCTCTTGCCGACAATTCGCCTCTCCAATGCAGCAAGAGCACGTTTCATGCGTTCATTACCAGGCTGGCCCAAGTTCTGTAGACGAAGTGGATGCCGAAATCGTGGGGACAGCATATTGCTATCGCTTGGTGCATCCTTCGAGCTCCAAGATCCAGATGTCGGAGACGGCAGCAGAGACTTAGAGGGATTTTCCAGTGAGTTGGCACTGGCAGCAGACTGATTATCGGAGTCGGACATTAAGTGATCTTGGTCGAAAGAATCTGCGCTGGCTTCGTAATCATCACTTGCGTCAACGTCGTCATCATCGTCTGTAAATTCCATCTGCTCAAAGTCAGACTCACTCTCTTCGTTGTCGGACGATAGCAACTCATCGTGCTCATAATCACTATCATCGTCTTCTTCCTCGCTCTCCTTCTGCGCCATGCGCGCGTCAATTAAAACACTCGGTTGGAGTTGTCCCGTGTCCGTTGTTGGGACCACAACCAGATCTGATGGCATTGCAACTGGCATAAACTCTTGTGTTTGTGCGCCCCCAAACGCCAGTGCTTGGTCGTTTACGCCAATATTTTGAGGGTCAAATTGAGAACCTCCGTTATCTGCAACGTCAGCACTAGGCTGGCTCTTCTGCAGTTTGTCATCGGCATCGTTGTCTTCGTCCATGAAAGAAGGCCAGTTGTGCTTACACGTTGCGTTGAGGAGTGTCGCGGGGCTGATGAAGGACCATGACGAAAAGAACAGCGCTGGATGTAGATTTTTACTTCGGCAGGAACTTGCTTCAAGTCCTTTCTTCTGAGTATCCGTGCCGAGAGAAGATATAGTTTCGTTGCTACCGGATTGAGGCATGAAAGTTTTCCGTATTCCTTGACCTAGCTTATGAAGCTGTAACGCGGCTTCCAACTTTGCCTTCTCTGCCTCCCCTCGCTGACGCATCATTCGATTTCGTAGCTTGTCTTCCAAATACTCCTTCATGGTAACCACTAGGTCGAGTGAGTCGTCATCAGGCGCTGTCAGACCGATCTCAGCGAGGTCAGAGCGAAACTTTGCTGCAAGTCGTTCCCAGCGTTTTCTAATCTCGAGACGGCTGCGATAAGGGAGATAACTTTTTGACAGACGAGAAAAAGGATACTTTTCCTTGTGCAACTCAACAAGTCCTCGCGCAATCCGAAGATCCTCTTCTAGTAACCAGCTGTTGTTGTGGTGCTGTGGCGCGGCCCTCAAGTGTAGCGCTTTAACAGCGCTCATACCTGTCTTCGGGCTTATCAAGTACTTGTACCGATGTCGAAGATTCTGTGTAGTTTTGGTCGGAAGAAAATGTTTCCGAATTTGATCCCACGAGTGCGCTTGCGTACCAAATCGTTTGGCGCCATGAGCCAACAATGCATCCTCTGTGGTTGAATATCCTTTCTTGCTTTTCCGGCTCTTTATCGCAGATAGCAAATGTGTGTCTAGCTGAAGCATTTGCTCTTTAATAGCACGATCACGTTCTTCAAGCGAGCAGCCCCGAGCAAAGCCAGCTGAAAGTTCGTCCACCGTTTGTGATCCAACCAACTCAAACATCGATGGATGAGCTACCGCTGCGTGTGCAGCTGTCAATGACCTCGTCACACGTCGTAGAGCCAGCAGATTTTCAGTGTTATTAGCGTTACCACTGATCCTTTCTGCACTAGGCAGGTCACTGGAAGACGAGATCTTGTTATCGCCAACAGTAGCACCTTCACTTCCACCACTCGTCGTTCCAGGATTCAGCTTTAACAGCAGCGTGTTCTTGTATCGGAGCGCCTTCTCACCTCGCTGCTGCAGTTCCTCAATCATTGCTCGACATTCTGCAAGCTCAGGTGACGTCGGTTTACTCGTCAAGAGATGATAACTCTGCAACAGCAACTGCAAATGTTTGTGCATTTGTGAAGCCAGTTGAATGCATTGTGCTTGAGAAACAGCAGCCGATCGACCTCGCAGTCCTGCCGGTAAATGAGCTGCCATACTACTAGCTACATTCCCCGGCTTCAATGCAGTTGCAAGATCCTTCTCTTCTCCAGTTCCAGCAGTAGACAGCACAGCTTCATTAATATTGTCCGTATCCAGCAGCATGTCGTCCTTCTTTGGTTCAAGAGTTCCACCTGATAAAATAGGGAACGACATGTGTGTCGAGTCCAGGAGTAGATCCGTGAGCTCCTTCTTGGAAATTCCTCGTCGAGTTTCTTCCTCTTCATGTTCCTCTTCTTCTTCTTCTGGTCGATACTCCTCATCTTCTTCATCCAGGAACGATAGATTCACCTGTTCATTGGGTAATAAACTCGACAGAAATCGCTGATATTCCCGATCCTCTGCAGTCTCCGCCGTAGCCTGCACCATTCAATTGATGCGTTGGTTCATTAGATGGAAGCACGCGTTCCGTGCAATTGTACAGACACGTATGAATTTCGGCTTTTTTGGCGCCAAATTTTGGATTTTGGCGCCAAAAAAAGAGCGATTTACAACCACGTACTTGATTGTGATCGAGTGGGAGAGAAGCTTCGAGTGTGTCGATGGGTACGTCTACGAGCGAGAACTTGGTGCGAGTACGGCCAGCGATTGTGTCGGTGTCTGTCTTAGCGCTTGCATCTGCCGAATCGGTGGCAGACATGTTGGCTGTAGTAAATCTGAGACGTGTGACAAACTTTCTTGAAGAAACATTTACAGTTGAAACAACATTCATGCGACATGTTGACGCAAATGGACACGAGCGTTTATAGGACGTAAGATCTAGGCCATAGGATCGCCAAATCGTGAAAATCGAGGAGGGTATGAGTATAGCAACTCCCTTATTTATACCTGCTATAAGAAATCTCTATAAATGGATAGAGCATTAACGTCTTTACAGTTGTATATGTTAGAAGCTATTGTTGTTGACAGGTTGTGAAGGTCAAGGGCAATACCCTGTCACGCGGTAAGTAACAACCGTACCTGATTGGCTAAACAGACTTGACGTGCTGACAGATGGGACGAGGCGACGATATCGCCACGTCGGACCACCAGGATGTTGCGACATATGTGACGAGGCGACGAGATTACCACATCGTCTTGTCGATGTCGTAACAGATGGGACGGAGCGGGATAGACGTGAACTATAGACGGTATAGTTGCAGTCGGTTTCGCATGCATGTGTAGGTATTAACGAACGAATAAAGTTAATGCTTAATATATATCACTTTTACTTCTACATCTTCTGCAACAAGTGCAGCAACACTACTACCAATTTCTTACAGGTTATGAGGCCAAAGAATCGTGACGGCGGCGCAGCTCAAGGAGCCACACCCGTTGTGGCGGTCAATGGTCAAGGATTGACCGAGGACCACCAGCTAGAAGAAAAGTCGGCAGTGCCTGCGGCGGCACTGGACAAGATGCTCGCCATGCTTGGCGATTTGTCGGAGCGGATGGGTAGGATGGAATCCTCCCAACACGGACAAGTCGGTGGCCAACCCAAGGAACCTGCGGAGTCGAGCGTCTTTGGTTCGGTTATCGGCTCAGGGGCCGGTATAACACTCCAGGCTTTGGAGCGTATCCCGCCACCTAAACGATCACCGAACGTCTCGCCGGCCACTTACTTTGGTGCCCGACGACCGGCTTTGGCCGGGGATCACATGGTTGACTCGCCGGCCCAGGCCAAAGTCAACCACGGAATGGCTCAAGGACTTGAGCCTGGAATTCATGAGCATGCCATGCCCGTGGGAGCATACCCGGGTATGCAGATGCCAGGTCCGGTGTTACACCAACCTGGGCAAGTACATCAGGGTGTACCGGATGGCCGTCAAAGGAAGCTGGCTTTGCAGCCTTTCGACGGTAAGGAGCTCTACCTCGTACTTGGTAGTGGCTTCATTGACTGGGGGAAAGAATTTTACGGCAGGTTGCCTTTTCGGAACGCGCCTGTGGGTTCACATGCCCTGAGGACATTAAGGTTGATGTCCTCGGCCAACACCTCGCTGGTACGGCGCAAGAGTACTATTGGCGGCAGGTGGAAACTTGGTGGTCTGAGAGTCCGACCTTGGAGCATGCAATGCAAAGGCTACTCCAGACCTTCAACACCAAGATAACACCTGCCCAAAGAATGAAGCTGTTTACTGCAGCCAAGTCATCTCAGCGTAGATATACGAAGCATTTTCTGTACCTGACCGCGGTAAGCGATGCGTGTGTAGGTGCGGACAACCTCGTGCTGGACAACATCGTGCTACTATGCCGACCCGTCTATGCACGACCATGTTGTCTCGCCTGAATTTAAGCAGGGTCGATTAACTTCGCCAAGCTGAAGAGCTCTCCCAATTTGCTCAGTCAACGGAACTGGAAGTTCGCGTGAAGCATTTCGGTCGATATGTCGTTAACATCGTCGAACCGAACAACCAACCTTAAGCGACACGAACGGAACAAGAAACAAAATGGCCCGCAACGACCCAAGCAGTGTTACCTGTGTGGGAGCACCGGGCACCTCAAGATGAACTGCCCAAAAGGTACCAAGAAGAAACAAGATGCGGATTTGTCTTGGCAATTCCAGGACATCGGACGATCTTATCAAGTCACTGGGTGCTGGACAGCGGCTCAGGTCGTCATCTGGTTAACGATTTAAACTTGCTGGAAAATGCGGCGGATTGTAACACCGAATGTTTTACTGCAGCATCGGATACTGAATTATTCGGATCACCAAACAAGGAAGCGTCATGATACAGGTCAAGAACTTGGATTGACTAAGACCATTCGTCTTCTCGATGTTCAATACGCCTCCAATTTGGAGTGCAACATCATCTCGTTCGGGAAACTCGAGTTGAAGGGATGCGTTCTTGAATAACGAGAAGGGGGGCGTGTCATGGTATCACATTCTGGTGGGATACCTATAATGGATGTTGATCGCATCAACAGTGTACTGGTCGTTGAAGTTTTCAATGGAATTACGACCGATGATTTTCGTGGATTTGGGTCACCAAGAGAAGCAATCATGACGGTTGTCGAAGACATTACAAACCATGCAAAGAACGACACGCAACACGGAACCCTGTCCTATTTTCATCGGTGTCTAGGTCACCTGTCCTATGACACCATCATCAAGATGGCTCGGAATTTCTCCTCTGGTATCCAATTGACTGATACCACGCGTGTCAAGTGCTTAGCCTGTGCACAAGGCAAGCAGACAAAAAACCGACAATCGCGGAAGGACGGTGGGCTGAATTCTCCCATTGACGTGATCGGAGGCGTGGTATGTTCAGACCTAAAAGGTCCTATGACCCCCCGTGATCGGCTCGGCAATCGATACCTGGTCAATTTTATTGACCACAGGTCGAACTACTGCCGGGTGTTCCTAGCGAATACCAAAGATGCCGCTGCGATGCATTTCAAGAATTTCTTGGTGGCTTTTGAGCGTCTTTCTAATTGCCGTATACACGTTTTACGTACAGACAGTGGAGGTGAGTACAATCCTCTGGATGTTTTCCTGCAAGGAAGTCGGTGTCACTCGTCAGGTGAGCGAGCGTGACAGTCAGGCCAGCAATGGCAAAGCTGAACGCATGCATCGCACCTTCATGAACATGGTGCGAAGCATGGTGTTTGCAAGTGGGATGCCCTTGACGTTTTGGGGTGACGCTGCAGAATTTGCAGCATACATCCTAAATCGAAGCCCTACCAAGGCAAACGAAGGTGGAATCTCACCTATTGAGATGTTAACCAAGAAGACACCCGTCTTAAGTGACATTGTGGTTTTCGGATCTTCATGCACCGTGCACCGAACGACTTCAAACAAGTTGTTGGGTCCTAGGGGAAAACAAGGTATCATCATCGGCAAGAGTGATGAGATGAAAGGATATTGGGTTTATATACCGATGGAACGTGTCGTGGTGGTGAGTCAACATGTGAAAAATGTTGAGATGTTAGATAACATACAAGAGACAAACGTGACCAAAACGTTACATGGTACCGAAGGTCAGGAGGAGCTCGGTGACTAAGGTGGCACGAGCAAATCAAGGGCAAGATCATCGGGCTGGACTTGTGATCCACACATGATACGGTCACGTCGAACTGACGGAGACACATCAAGTGATGTCATAGGCATACACAAGAATGTCGACATGGTCAACGTTGTTCGAGACCCAAGGAACTATGGCGAGGCCATAAGGAGCTACAGCAAGTATAAATGGTCTGTGGCTTTCAAGGACGAGCTGTATGCATGGTAGGAAAACGGTGTTTGGGCGGTTGTTGTTCCACCTGACAACGCCCACATACTACACAACAAATGGATCTTCAAGACAAAGACCGACGCCGATGAGAAAGTCGAACGATACAAGGCCAGACTTGTTGCATGCGGAAACGAGCAGTTGTTTGGAGTCGACTACACCTTGACTTTTGCGGCGATTATGGAACTTGGGACAGTCAAGGTGATTCTGGTCCTCTCACGCAGATGGAACGTACCGGCTCGGCGCGGCGATGTGCTGAACGCATACGTCAAGGCCGATTAAAAAAGGACCTCGACATCTACATGAAAATACCAAGCGGTATTCAAGTCGATGATGACACCTTGGCCCATCATGGAGTGGACGGGACAAAGTAACTCGCGCTGTTGCTCAAGAAATCCTTGTACGGATTGAAACAAGCTGGAAAATTATGGAGCAAGCTACTGCACTCCAAGTTGACTGAGTTGAACTTCAGACAATGCACGACGGACATGTGTCTATACGTAAAACGAACCGGCACAGATGTAACGGTCGTCGGTGTTTACGTCGACGATTTGCTGGTGACTGGAACATCGACTGATCTCCTCGGACAATTTTTCAAGGACATGACGTCTCTCGAGATCAAGGACCTCGGCATGGTGAACAAGTTTCGAGGACTTAGGGTCAAGCTGGACGAAAACGAAGGCTACGTGTTAGATCAAGAAGTAAACATCGACTCACTGCTAAAGGAAAATGGACTAGCTACAGCTAACGGGGTTCGATCTCCAATAGGAGACGCATGAAATGGCGTCGATGAGACGAACTCGGAGTCCCTGAAGTCGACCGCCAAAGCTGGAGGTGCAAGTGTCAAGGCCTTCCAGTCACTCGTCGGAATGTTACTCTGGATCGCGCGTTGCACTCGACCGGACATTTGTTTCGCGGTACACCGAGCGACTCGACAGACTCACAAGCCGACAACCAAGGATTGGAGAACGGCGAAACGAGTCGCAAGATACCTGAAGGAAACCAAGAGTTTAAAGTTGTGCATCCACAGCTCACGCGGTATGGACGACCCAATCAAGATTGAAAGCTGGAGTGATGCAGACTTTGCCGCGAACAAGTCGGACCGCAAGTCAGTCAAGGGATACGTTCTCACGATGAATGGTGCTGTTGTGGTGAAGTGCCAGGAGAATCGGGGCCCAGGGTACCAGGGTACAGGGGCCCCAGGGTACAAGGGCTTAGGCCTCGCAAGGTTCCAAGGTTCAATCGAGGGTCACCAAAGACAAGATTAACAGTCACCAGGGACCGGGGTACTAGTCACCAGGGACAAGGTTTTCAGTTACCGGGGACAGGGGTATCGAACGTCCAGGGTCCTGAAGTCATCAAAGGTACAAGGTTACTGTGGTGGAGTGGATTCTCAAACAACGTGAGATGACCACATACACACACAGCGCCA